AGGCCCGCCCCCAGGGGGAGAGGGCCAGGCTTTGAACATGAAGTTGATCACATGCAAATAGCATGCAAATATATGCAAGCTGGCTTGGGCTGCGGGGCCCACCTCTCTGCCGTCCTCCCTCCTGGGTGAGGGCTGGGGCGGGTTTGCATCCGGTTCCGCTTGGTGCCTAGGGTGCCTGGGCTCTACTTCAACCTGCCAGTAACGGAGTGAGGGTGGGGCAGTTCTCCACACCACCCTGCCCAAGAGATGTGACCTAAGAGGACATGGAGGTACTGGGTGGCAGGAGAGGCGGCTGACCCGCTGAGCAAGGAGTCCCTGTGGCTTGTGATTTGTGCCTGGTGTCCTCACGAAAAGGTGAAGGAGTGTGTGCCCAGGATTCTGACATTCCCTCCTCCCCTGAAGGCTGGGGAGCAGCTGAACACACGTGGCAGACAGGACTCCCAGACCTGGCACGTTGTTTTCGACACAATGTCTCATAAATAACAACTCACTGTGTAGCTGAGGATGACCTTGACTGCCTCCACCACTCAAGTGCTGGATTTCAGGTGTGTGCCACTATGCCCACTCTGCTATTTTCTTCCTTTCTTGCTGGGGGTAGAACCCAGGACCTGGGATCTGCTAAGTCAGGACTCCCCTCAGGGTACCATCCCAGCCCTGCACAGGGATTCACTGAGCATATACTAGGCAAAAGGCCTGGCTGTGCCCTGAGAGAAGCAAGTGCCAACATCCAGGAACACACGGGGTGGCAAAGCCATGAGCCCTAAAGCACCAACAGACACACTGAACTATGGGTTGGTTCCAGCCTCGTACAGGCAAAGAACCTTCCAATAGGGGAGAATTGGGCATTGGGGTTTGGGGCATGGGAAGAATTCCAGGCAAGGGACAAGAGTGGTGTGGCACTGGGCCATGAGAAAGAAAGGCCAAGGTGGGGAGGGCTGAGAGGGAGGTGAGTCCTGCTGGAAGCACTTTTGTGGTATCAGGTGTGGGAGGAGACTCAACAGTGATTAGCTACTGTTGCTGGCTTCCTGAAGACTGTTCTGTACACTGGGTAATAGAGGTGAGGAGTGGAGGGGTGGGGGTGGGGGTGGGGCTGGAGGACACCACACAGGACTGGGGCCTAGGGGCAGAAAAGGGAAGATAGGCCCAGGGAGGCTGTGGGAGAAGGCAGGTGACAGACAGGGTTAAGTGTGGTCTTCAAGAACCACAGGAGGCCTCAAGTCTTCCTTTGTGACTTGCTGGCTGTGGACACAGGCGGCTGTGGGGGGGGGGGCTTTGCGGGGGGGTATACATGTTGGGTCTCACCCTTCCTCTTGGCTTTGTGGCCTCGCTCCCCGGTTTATCATCTTTCTTTCTCTTCCTAGTTGCTCAGCTCAGTGGCAGGAGACATTCTCAGTCTGCAAAATCGAAATCTAACATCCATTTTTCTCACTCCAAGACCTGGGGGTCAGTTCCCCCCACCCCAAATGCTGTCTGTCTGATTTCTGTGTGGTCCCCTCGGGGTAACTGCTCTGGACAACTCTAACACCACTCAGACAGATTACCCAGCCTCCTAGCCCCGACATCTCCCACCACTGCATCAAGCCAAATTACTCAGCACCCCTCCCCCCAGCCCGGGGCCCTGATGAAATCCGATTAGTGAGAAGAGAGCCTCAGCGAGCTGACGGCTCCTCTGATAGATAATTGCTTCCTAAGCAAGCAAAGCAGCCCACCCCTCTCCTGGGTACCCCAGGCATCTAGAGCCAGGAGCAGAGGACACCAGAGCTGGAAGGCTAGGAAACTGCCACCTGCCTCCAGTTAAGTGGGTTTCAACCCCAAAAGTTGACCTCTGTGGTCTTGGGTTTAAGCCTTAGTCCATGGATGCTCATATTCCTACCTCCTCACACCTTGGGGAAATCTACATACCCATTTCTCTGCAGATAGAGGAAGGCAGACACAGAGAACAGAGACAAGGAAATGGCTTGATAAGACCTCAGCTCCCTGCTTCCCCGGTTCTGGGAGGAGGGTGGGAATGGGGCCTGAGGACCTGCAGGCAGCTTCCTCTATTATAGTAGCCTACCCACCTGGCAAGCTATAGAAGGCTAAATTCCTGCAGAACTGGAGGTACTTAACCTTTGAGCTTTCTCAGTCAGAGACAAGGACAGGTTGCTGGGATGCAGTCCCCCCCCTCAGACCCCACCCTTGGGTCCCCTCCCTGGTCCCCTCCTCTTCACAATGGGCCTGCCCTCCTCTTCCCTAAAGCAGGGCCTTTTGTGGGTTGGTGTTTGACATTTATTTATTTATGAGTGTGTGCTCATGTGCCATCAGGAAGGTAGAGCCCAAAAGACAGCTTGCAGGAAGTCAGTTCTCTCCTTCTATCATGTGGATTCTGGGGATTGAATTTAGGTTGTCAGACTTGGTGGCAGTTACCTTTACCTGCTGAGCCATCTCACCACCAGCCCCCCCTTTTCTGGTTTTTTTTTTTTTTTTTTTTTTAAATGACAGGGTCTATAGGTCAGGCTGGTGCCATACTTGTGACCCTCTTGCCTCAGTCTCCCGAGTGCTGATATTATAGGTGCATCAACCCATACGGTAAGGGGGGGCATTTTATGTGCCTGATAATTCTTCCTTATTGCCTCTGTCTCTCTTTCTGTCATCTCTGTCTGTCTGTCTGCCTGCCTGCATGTGTGCGTGTGTGCGTGCGTGTGTGCGTGCATGCATTCGTGAGTGTGTGTGTGTGTGTGTGTGTGTGTGTGTGTGTGTGTGTACACTAACATGGAATCCAGGACTTTGTGCATGCTAATTTGCAGTTAACCACTGAGCTATACCCTGCCCTCCTTCATCTTTACTGCGAGCCCTTCTTTTTTCTGATCTTTCATCCAATCTTCTCCTGACCTTTGATGACTGAAAGGCACTTTGCAGCCCAGACTCCGAGTCCCAAATCTTACCAGGCAGGCTGTGGTCTCTGATGAACTCTCCAGGGATGAGTTGGTTAGTATTATTGTGTGCTCAGCCCCAGCATCTGCCTATAGGCCTGCCTGTAGCCATAGCAACAATGACTAACCCTCCAGCCCCTCTGAGCCAGGTCTTAATAAAACACCGTGTTGGTTAATTTATCACGAAAGAGATAAATTTCAAGGATTGTCCCATTTTACAGCTGGGGTAACCGAGGCATAGAGATGTGAAGTAACATGCTTGAGGTCCCATTAGTAAACGGAGAATGTGACTGCAGATCTAGCCCTGGCTTGGGACCATCATCTTTCATGCATTTCATACATTGTTCATGTACTACACGGCTGGTAGAGAGGGGCTCAGAGCGTGGACAGAAGCTCTAGGAAGTCCTTTGGAGTTCCACAGGGAAGTGGCCAGGTGACACCTGGTACCCAGTAGGCAAAAAACGAGGCCTGCAATCTTAGCTTTGTGCAGCCTGAGGTCCTTGGCAGGGGAAGGGCTTGCTTGGCTTGGAAATCTTAGCAAGGCGAAACTAGCTCATCCAGAGGCCGATAGATGGCGCTCGTGGCCCAACACAGCCCCTGCACCCTGCTGAAACCTGAAAGAAACAAGAAAGCAAGTTAACCCTTCAGAACACAGGAGGGCAGAGTAGCTGCTGCTAGGCCTCAGAGGCGGCTCCACAGCCCAGGGCTAGAGCTATCCCTTGGCCACAGCCAGGATCTTCTGTCTCCCCTGCCTCACAAGACCATCAAGCACTGTCAGCCTGTCCGTTGAAGGCTTCTGGAGGGCACGGCAACTAGGGAAGGGCTTTGCCCATCTTTCATCTCAGGGTCTCATTTCTAAATGCCTTTAGCAGAGCTCCAAGCCCACAGTTTTTGAAAGATAAGAGGGTTGGGGGGATGGCCAGAGGCCATCAGGGTCAGCCTTAGCAGTTCACCAGTACCTCTGTTCCTCTTTTCCTAGGGACTCGCTCTGAGCTTCCAGGGGTCAGTGGACTCATAGGGACAGAGGAGTTACTCAGTTCTACAGAAGTTGGCATTAGGTGGTGAGCATCTTTTTTTTTTTTTTCTTTTTTGTCTTTGTTTTTGAGAGAGGGTCTCACTATTTACTCCAGGCTGGAACTCACAGGGATGCTTTCCCCCACCTGCAGGATGCTGGCATTAAAGGCAAGAGTCACCACACCAGGCAAGTAGGGGGACATTTTGTAGGATCTCTGTCTCCCAGATACTCACTTTACTCATAGCTGCTCTGCCCGAGGCCAACTTGGGGTTCTTTTTTTTGTTTTTTCGAGACAGGGTTTCTCTGTATTGCTTTGGAGCCTGTCCTGGAACTGCTCCGTAGACCAGGCTGGCTTCAAACTCTCAGGGTTTCTCTGTATTGCTTTGGAGCCTGTCCTGGAACTGCTCCGTAGGCCAGAGAGATCCACCTGCCTCTGCCTCCCGAGTGATGGACTGGGGGTGGTGGCCCATGTGGGCCTTTAATCCCACTCAGGAGACAGAGTCAGGCAGATTTGGTCTAGAGACCAGGTCAGTCTGGTTTACATAGTGAATTCCAAGACAGCAAAGATGAGAGGAGACCCTTTTTCTAAACAATAACACCCTTCCCTGAAACAGGAACAGAAACCCAGGTGGAAGAGCTGGGCAAGCCAAACAATTGTCGGGGAGAGGGGTACCTGAAAGAGTGGTGGAGCCTATAATCAATTCCTTCCATCAACACCTTTTCTCTTCCTTTTTGGACAAGATTTCACTTTGCTCAGGCTAGTGTCAGACATGCTATTTGGCAGAGGATAACCTTGAACTTCTGATACTTCTGGTCCCTCACACTGCAAATTGGGGGCGGGAGGAGAGGTGGAAAACTGCCAAAGGTGAGGCAGTGGGAAGAATCTTAGGTGGAGTGGGTAGCTCTTCCCCCAGGTGCAGCAGACCAGGTGCTCGCATAGTGGCCACCTGCTAGAACACCCTGGTGATCCTTGCCCTGCTCCTCCACACTCCAGGCTGGGGTGAGGGGACTCTGCGGGAGTTACCCTGGGTGGCCGCACTTTTGGAAGCACATAGAGTCTACCCAGGCTGGCCTTCAACTGATGGTCCTTTTGCTTCAGCAACCCAAGTGGTTGGATTACAGATATGTGCGGCCACACCAGCCATACTATCTTCCAATTCTGCCTCTTTGCAAACTGAGGCATCCATCTCTGCAAATTGGGGGCGGGACACCATGGAGACTGGTTTACGGGCCTTGGTTCTCAGATTTTCCATCTCTAAGGCTTCTATCAGAAGCTTCCCTGTAGAACCATTTCAGGTTCGGACTGAACTACAGAGGGCTTTCCTGGTTCTCCAGGCTATAGACAGCAGGTTCCATATGACTTCAAGCATATTTCCACAATACATCTCCTCACATACGTAGAGAAATGATTTTGGTTCTGCTTCTCTGGAGAATTCCAATCTAGGATATAGGCTGGCAGATGTCAAGGCAAAAGAAGGAGCCAGGTCAAAATGGTGAAAAGCTGTGGATTTGGACGCTAATGGTAATGGGATGTTCATTGTCAAAGAGTGGAGGATGAGAGAAACGGCTCCTTGGATGTTATGCACACAGCTCGTACAGGGCTGCAAAGGTGAGGTCTCATAACTAGAGCAGCGGGGTCATTGGGAAGGGTCTATAGTGGATGAGGGATTAGTGATGGCTGGAGAGTCCAGATTGTTATGAATGAACTGGCCTCTAACTTCCAAGACATCATATTTTAAATCATATTGTTAAACTACAATCCCCAGAGACCCGTGGAGTTCGCTTATCGAGCTTTCCGGGGACTTGGGCATTTCCGGCGGAAGCGGACGCTGCTAGCCATTCTTCTAATTTAAAATGCTGTTGACTACGACTTCCAGTGTCCTTTGCGCCGGGATGAAGAAAGGAAGCGGAAGCTGCATGGAGAGCTTGCTGCAGGTGAGGGAGTAGGGGGCTGGATCGCAGCGTAGGGGGCTCGCTGGGCTCGGGAGGGGTGACGGCGCTATGACGTGGAGGCCCAAAGGGGCATCTATGATCCCGCTGCGCTGCTGATTTTGGTTTAAATCCTGTGGATTCATGGAGAGCCTACACGGAGCAGGGCTAGCTAGTGGCATGGATTCTTGTTTTTATTTTAGGTTTATTTACTTATGGGTGTTTTGTTTGCATGTACGTCTGCATACCAGAAGAGGGTATTGGATCCCATAGCCTCAGTTAAACTGTTGTGAGCCGCTTTTTGGGTGCTGGGAATTAAGCTTGAGACGTTTGGAAGAGCAGCCAGTGCTCTTACCTGCTGAGGCCTCAGTTAAACTGTTGTGAGCCGCTTTTTGGGTGCTGGGAATTAAGCTCGAGACGTTTGGAAGAGCAGCCAGTGCTCTTACCTGCTGAGCCACCCACCTCTCCAGCCCAGTGTGACTTGGATTCTATTAAACTTCTTGGGGTTAATTTCAGATAGGTCGGTTACGAGTATGAAGTCCAGCCTCGACCACACGTATCTCAGGGTCGCCCTTTGCTTTTAAATATAATCTCAAATGTGTGACACGTTTCTCAAGCATCTGGGTTTTTGCTTTTTGAGAAAAAAAAATCGCATGTAGTCCAAATTGACCTCACCCTTGCTATGGGAGGAATGCTCTTGATCTGATCTTTCTGCCTCTACCTCCTGAGTGCAGGGCCTATAGGCATGTAGGGGATTGAACTCCAAGGCTCCGCTGACTTGCAGCATCTGCCCATTAAGCAAATGGTTGTTGGTGACTTTAGGTAGGACTGCTAGGCTTCCCTTAGTGCTCCTTTAATGTTCTGTCTGGGATAGTAAAGCTCCGATTACACTGTATTTCAGCTTGTTTGTCTGTGCTCTTAGTTCATGGCTTACCCAAAGCCTGTCTTACATTTTATTCATTTTGGAGTTATTCCTCCAGCAAGAGACTGACACGGAAGGGACTCATAAATATTTAAAAGATAAACAAGTTAACAGCTGGTGGAATCTGTGGTTTCTATAGAGAAGAGCCTTAAAATGACAGCAAGAGACTGACACGGAAGGGACTCATAAATATTTAAAAGATAAACAAGATAACAGCTGGTGGAATATGTGGTTTCTATAGAGAAGAGCCTTAAAATGACTTGTGCAAGAGAACCTTTTTAGATGTCTAAGTTGGTAGGGTGCTTGCCACCAAACCTGATGACCCTGATAAAGCTCGAGGGGAATGGAACCTTGGCGGATTCCATGGCAGGCGAGGGTGACCCAGGTGGGGCGTGGGGGAGGACAAACATGCCAGGCAGACAGAGCTTAGTGATAAGTTTTATTAGAAAGGGAAAGCGGGGGAAGGAAAGAGAAAAGAGGTAAAGAGACATAGAGAGGATAGAAGAGAAGAGGGATACAAGAAAAGTCCTGTCTGTCCCAGGGGAACAGCAGGAAAGAGCTGGGAAGAGAGCATAAGTGGGCCGGATCTGTCTTTTAAAGGGGTCCTTTGCACCTGCGTGCAGACTAGTAGTCATGGAACCCTGGGCTGACCAGGGCACTGCCTGAGTGCATTCTGCCAGGTGACAGGGGCAGGGCAGCATAATGCCTGAATCCTTACATTCAGAGCCTTGACTATAGAAGAGAACCAGCTCTCCAAATTATCTCTGACCACATGTGTGCTATGGCATGCCTGGTCTCCTCAACAAATAAATAAATGTTAAGGGAAAGAACCTTTTAAGAAATAAAGCCAGGGCTAGGATTCAACTTAGCTGACTTTTAGCCTGTGGTATAAGACTGGACTTTGAAAATTGAACAGTGGAAATTGTCTCTTTTGTGTGTGTCCATCCTTGCTGTCTTCAGCACCTGAGAGCCACCACTGGTGCTGCTTTTTCTAATATTGGTTCCACATAGGGAAGTGCAAAGCAAGCTCCCAGAAATCCCAGTGCACCATACCTCTCTCAGCTTTCCAGAATGTCCTGGTGCCTATGTGGACAAATCAGTTCCAGGCCTGGTATGGTGGGTAACACATGCAAGTAATCCTAGCAAGTAATTCATGAAGAAGCCTGTCAGTACCCAGTGGCTTTCAGCCTTCACCAGGGCATCTGAATCACTTTGTTCAAGATACGTAGCTCTTGGCTTCACAGCCAGTTTTCTTGTGTGTGATATGCCAGGCAGTTCATGCTATGATAGATACCTGAGAAAAACAGCATGAGAGAGGTAAGATAGATTTTGGCTCACAATTGAGAGGTTCCAGTCCCTGGCTGTTTGGCCTCTCATGGCTACAGGTCTGGACTGAGGCAGAACATCACAGTGGAAAGGTTGATATAGGGCAAAGTTTGCTCATGTTATGTTAGCCAGGAAACAGAAGGGGGGTCAGGAAGGGGCCAGGGACAAGATACACCCTTCAGACTCTCTCAAGGCACTCCCCAGGCCCTACTTCCTCCTGCTAGGCTTCATTTCCAATAGCCTATGAAATTAACATCCTTATTTATTCATCTGTCTCTCAATAGTGCCACCAGCTGGAGAACAAACCCTCAACATTTTATAATCATAGCTTGTAGGGTGGAGCAAAGCTTCACCAAGGAGATGGTTTGAGCTGTATCTTGAAGGGTAAGTTTGAACTGGATATGTTGGGTCTCCCTCTTGGTTGACTGCTGGTGGTTGTCCTGGTTAACTCAATCATATTTGGTTGGCTTTGTAAAGATGATCTGTGTAGCTGGGTGGTGGTGGCACACACCTTTAGCCGCAGCACTCGGGAGGCAGAGGCAGGTGGATCTCTGTGAGTTTGAGACCAGCTTGGTCTACAAGAGCTAGTTCCAGGACAGCCTCCAAAGCCCAGAGAAACCCTGTCTCAAAACAAAACAAAACAAGACAAAATGAAACAAAAGATGACCTGTGCAAAGTTTTGGGAGTTGGGGTAGGAGAAGCATTTTGAAAGTGAGTGAAATGGCCAAAGACAAGCTCTGGGTGTGCTTAGCAGTGTGAGAACAAGCTGTTGCAGTTTAGAAGGCTTGCTGCTGTGTTCCTTCCCCCTCTTCCCATTCATAGGCAGCTTTATGAAGTGGGCATTATCATCTTTAGTATTCAGATGTGAAAACCAGAGGCTCTGGCCATGGTTGCATAGCTTGTAAGAGTCTATTCAGAGTCTGGTAATCATCCTATTCACCTCTGAGGATTCTTGAGTGTGGGAAAGAGCTGGGCTGGGGTTAGGGGCTTGTAGAATTAGTAGGGTGGCTGATCAAACCGTCTAAGGCAAGATGGCATGGGTGGTTAAGAGCATAGCTTTGAGTCTGATAGTGTGGGTTCAAATCCCAGCTTCATTACTTGCTAACTGCATGACCCTAGGCAACTTGCTTGATCTCGTTAAGCCTCAGTCTCCTGGCTTGTAACATGGGAGCAATAATACCCACCTCATGGGGTTGTTATGAAGATCAATGAGGTGTACCTGGTGGAGAGCAATTGCTTGCCACCTGGAAGCTGCTGTAATTAGCCCTCCCAAGTCTCTGGGCTGTGGCTGTGCACCTGCATCTCATTTGTCAGCACAGTGTCTTCAGGACACACTCATCCTGGCTGGACTGGTTTTATTAAGGATGACATTGGAGAGCAAGGATGCCGGTAGATGTGTCCTGACAGTGTAGCCTGGTCAGGTTCAGGCTTTAATCTCAGCACTTAAGAAGTGCAGGCCAGACAGTGAAGTGACTCAGTAGGTTAAGGTGTTTGTCACCAAGTCTGAATGAAGACTGAGTTTAGTCCTTGGCACCCACATGGTGGACAGTGACAACAGACTTCTGTGAGTTGGCCTCACATGTGTGTCATGGCACATGTATGCCTAAACACATGCATGAACACACAAATATATACAAATGTAATTTAAAACTGTTTGCTAGGCAATGGTGGTGCACGCTTTTAGTCCTAGCACTTGGGAGGCAGAGGAGGGCAGATCCCTGTGAGTTTGGGGCCAGCAAAACAAGTTCCAGGACAGGCTCCAAAGCTACTCAGAGAAACCTTGTCTCAAAAAAACCAAAACAGCTGGGCGTTGGTGGCGCATACCTTTAATCCCAGCCCTCGGGAGGCAGGGGCAGGCGGATCTCTGTGAGTTCGAGACCAGCCAGACCAGACAAGAGCTAGTTCCAGGACAGCCTCCAAAGCCACAGAGAAACCCTGTCTCGAAAAACAAAACAAAACAAACAAACAAACAAAAAGCAGAGGCAGGAGGATCAGGAGTTTCTGACCATCATCATCTACATAGCAAGTCTGAGACCAGTCTGGGTGACACGTGAACCCATCTCAATAAATAAGTAAGGAAGGGGCTAGAGATTTGACCTAGTGGTTAAGAGCATGCAGTGCTCTGGCAGAGAACCAGAGTTCAGTTCCCAGTACCCATCTCAGCTCACAGCTTCCTGTAACTCCAACTCCAGGGGATCGGATGCCTTCTGGCTTCCTTGACCACCACACATGAGGCATACATTCATATAGCCACACACACACACACACATACACACACACACACATATATGTAAATGAAGATAAATCTTTTTCTTTTGGGGGTGGGTTGACCCCCCCCATAGGGTTTCTCTGTATTGCTTTGGAGGCTGTTCTGGAACTCACTTGGGGTGGGGCACTATTATGGTTGATACCTGATTGCCAGCTTGACAGGACCTGGGATCACTTTGAGGATGAATCTCTGAGAATGTCAGTGAAGGAGGTTTTAAATTAGACTAACTGAGGTGAGGAAACCTAAACTTGAAGAGTGTGGTACCACCCATGGGATGTGCCTGGGCTGTCGTAGGCTTTCTGTTGCTGGGATGAAACACCATTACCAAAAGCAAGTAGGGGAGGGAAGGGTTTGTTTTAGCTTTCTGTTTCACACCACAGCCCATCATCAAAGGAAGTCAGAGTAGGAACTCAATGCAGGAACTGAAGCAGAAGCCACGGAGGGGAGCTGCTTACTGCCTTGTTCCCATGGCTTGCTCACTCTGCTTTCTTATAGCGCTAGAGATCAACAGCCCAGGAATGGTACTGCCTACAGTGAGCTGAGCCCTCCCATCACATCAGCCATCAAGCAGGAAAATGCACCACAGGCCAGTCTGGTGGGGGCATTTTCTTTATTGAGGGCTCCATCTTCCAACATGATTTTGTCTTGTGTCAAGTTGACATAAAAACTAGCCAGCACAGCATAAGAGAGCTCTATCCAGGTAACACACACCTTGAGAACTCTGAGTTCAAGGCCAGCCTGGTCAGCATATGGAACTCCAGGCCATCCAAGGTACATAGTGAGAGCCTGTCTCATAAAACTGAGTGGGTGGAAGAGGAGGAGGAGGAGGAGGGAGAGAGAGAGAGAGAGAGAGAGAGAGAGAGAGAGAGAGAGTTGAATATAGGCAATCATCACTTTTGACTATGGCTGCAATGTGGTCACCTACCTTATGCTCCTGCAGCCATGGCCGCCCTGATGAGCTCTACTCTCTGAGAGCTGAAATGAATGGTTCCTTCAGTTGCTTTTTCAGGTTCTTTGTTGCAGCAAGACAAGTGACTAATGTAGGATGCTTGATGTATCAGAAAGAGGGAGGACTCTGAAGTGGGGGCAGAGGTCCCTTCATTACCAGGATCTTGAGTGAGTTTGTAGTAACGGTCAGGGCTTCCTAGGATCTCTTCTGACCCAGGAAATGATAGTGAGAGCCCCTGGCTGGTACAGATCCTAACCCTGGGTTGATTTTGAAGGAAATTCTGTATACCTCTTTCCCAGGTGACAGCGGCATGGCTGTGTCCCAGGCGTTCCTGCCAGGGCCTACTCATGAACCTACAGGCCCCTTGATGGAGCCTCTGCCTTGCACTCGAAGCTTGGCTGAGGGCTTCCTGGAGGAGGAGCTTCGACTCAATGCTGAACTTCGTCAGCTGCAGTTTCCAGAGCCCGTGGGTGTCATCTATAACCCAGTGGATTATGCTTGGGAGCCGCACAGTAACTACGTGACTCGCTACTGCCAAGGTCCCAAGGAAGTGCTCTTTCTGGGCATGAACCCAGGACCCTTTGGCATGGCCCAGACTGGGGTAAAGGCCTGTCTTCCTCTGGTGTGAGGTTCTGAGGTGGATGTTTGCCTGGGTGTACCGTGGAGGAAGAACATATAATTGGCTGGGAGGTGGGTGGGCCCCCCACCCATCCCCTGCAAGACATACACTGGCTCCTGTGGTCTCAAGCACTCTCCCTGCTTCTCTGTTCATAGTTAACCAAGCACATTAATGGTAGTTCCGTTTCCTCTGTGAGCTCTCCACTAATTGCCTCTGAGAGCCCTCCCTTCCGCTATCCTGTCCTACACCTTACCTTGCCGGATCTCCCTTGTCCCTAGAGTGGTTGGAGTCAGGAGTGAGGCTGGGACTGCTGGATCCACCAGGAAGACTGGCTGGGGCGGGATGGGTTTTTAAGAGCTGCTGGGCGTCCTGGTGGCAAGTCCCTGGGTCTCCAAAAGGTTCATAACAGAGTCAGGCTCAGGTCAGCCAGCTTTACCTTAGGGATCTGGCTGAGTGACTGCCACTCGGTAGGGGTGCATTGCAGGTGGGGGTAAAGAAGCCTCAGGGCAGGAGACTCAATCGCTTTTATTGACCCCAGCTGAGTGATGAAAGGTGATCAATGATGATGGATGGAAATGACAGCCTGAGGCCTGGGACTGGGAGGGTACCCAGAGATCAGCCTGTCCTGACTCCTTTCACCCTGGCTAACTTTCTGTCTCAGGAGATCTGTCTGTCACCAGTATTAGAATCATGCCCTCTGTAGGGCCAAGTATCCTAGCATTCTGCCTGTATATGGTCCTAGTGCCTGGAGAAAGTAGAGGCACACAGTGTCTGCTGGTCACAGTTCACAGTGGGAAAAACTGGAGGGCAAATGGACAGGGCCAAACCACAGGGCAGGGAGTCCATAACACAGACTTGAAGGCGAAGGTGGGGGTGGGCAAGACCTTCACAGCAGCCTGATCATCTCCAGCTTGAATCCCCTTGTGTCTATCTCATTCCCCCACAGGTACCCTTTGGAGAAGTGAATGTGGTCCGGGACTGGTTGGGAGTTGGGGGCTCTGTGCGGACCCCTCCCCAAGAGCACCCTAAGCGACCAGTGTTGGGACTGGAGTGCACACAGTCGGAGGTGAGCGGAGCCCGATTCTGGGGCCTTTTCCGGGCCCTCTGCGGACAGCCCCATGTCTTCTTCCGACATTGCTTTGTCCACAATCTGTGTCCTCTGCTCTTCTTGGCTCCCAGCGGACGAAACCTTACCCCAGCTGAGCTGCCAGCCAAGCAGCGGGAGCAGCTACTGATGATCTGCGATGCAGCCCTCTGCCGGCAGGTTCAGCTACTTGGGGTGCGGCTGGTAGTGGGAGTGGGGCGGCTTGCAGAACAGCGGGCAAGAAGAGCTCTGGCAGGGCTGAGCCCGGAGGTGCAGGTGGAGGGGCTGCTGCATCCCTCTCCTCGAAGCCCACAGGCCAACAAGGGCTGGGAGGCAGCGGCCAGGGAAAGACTCCAAGAGTTGGGGCTCCTGCCTCTGCTAACCAGTGAGTGCCCAGCCAGGTCTAGTACACCTTAGACACCCAGGCTTGCATAGCAGGTGACTACACACAGGGTTTGCTGGGTTCCCTGGTGGAGGAAACGTTTTCACCCCTGTGGACTGTCCTCTAATGGCCAGGCAGACTCTGATCTCAGGGTGGGCAGCTCTCCTGCCGTCTTCCCATTCCTTGAGCATCACGCTTGTGTCTTCAGTGGCTTGTACTGGGCAGCATCAGCAGAAGGTGGGCCTTTTTACTCACGTAGTTTCCTTGGGAGCCTCTGTGTGCAGAGGGTCCTAGATAGGGATGCGTGAGGTCATATTTGAAGTTGTGGAGGAAAGATCATTTTAATTTTAATCTTTCCTCTTTTGTTTTTTTTTATTGGCATGGTTTTTGGCACTGCCTCATGTACACTAGGAAAGCTAACGCTGATCTACCTCCGCCTTTTTTGACACTAACTGTGCATATTAGTGGGGTTCAGTGTGGTGTTTCCACACATGCATTAAGTGTACTGATGGAGTCCAACCTCCCTTTATCTGTCCTCTCCACACCTTCCCCTCCCCAGCCAGAGGACAATCTTTCCAGGAGCCCTACTTATCCTTACAGAACACTTCCCTCTAGCTGGCTCCTCTCTTCCCAGGAGCCAGGACAGACATCATGTTGAGAATGAACTTCTTAGCCAGGTGTCCTGGCACACCCTTGTAATGTCAGCACGCAGAAGCAAGAAGATCAGGTTAGGTTCTGTCTCAGAAATAAATAAATAATAAAAATGTAATTTCTTCAGGGAGGCCAAGGTTGGATCTGAGGGAGACTTCTATGTGGTAGACTAGGAAAGGTCTAGATTTTCATTCCCCTCTCCCCCATGAGGTCTGTGAACTTAAAACAAAACAAAACAAAAACCCTCTTTCAGCCAGGCAGTGGTGGGACATGTCTTTAAACCCAGCACTTGGAAGGCAGAGGCAGGAGGATCTCTGCATTCAAGGCCACCTTGGTCTGCTATGTGAGCTCTGGGACAACCAGAACTTGGAAGGCAGAGGCAGGAGGATCTCTGCATTCAAGGCCACCTTGGTCTGCAATGTGAGCTCTGGGACAACCAGAACTACAAAGAGAAACCTTGCCTTGAAAAACCAAAATTCATGTTTTATTTTTGTTACTGTTATTTATTTGTTTTTAAAATTTGAAGCAAGGTCTCATTGTATTGGCCTGTAACTCATAATGGAGACAAGATCCCAGTCTTGATCTTGATTTCCTCACAGGAAATCTTCCCGCCTCTGTCTCCTGAGAGCTGGGACTAAAAGGATGTGCCACCATATCCAGTTTCCTTCTGGATTTTGAGACAAGGTCTCACTGTGTAGTAGTGGCTGGCCTGGTACCCTCTCTGTAGACCAAACTGGCCTCAAAGTTGTGGTGATCTTCCTGCCTAAATACTGGGATTACAGGCATGTGCCACCCTGCCTGGCCTGCTTATGGACAACCTCTCTAAGCCTCAAGATCCTCTGTAAAATAGGAGTTTTGCCTCCTGGCACTGGTGAGAGGTGTGAGGACTGAGGGAGCACTGCAGAGTACTCTGCAAAGGGCCAGCACATGGTGCTCACTACAAACTCTTCCTGTTAGCCTCTCTCTGAGCTGGGAGTATCATTGCACTACAAAGGAATTCCCTGTCCACTCTGAAGACCTTTCCTTACTAGGGAAGGACCAATGTTATGAAATTTCCAGCCTGTGGTTTTTCAGACTAAGCATTAAAGACTCGTAGGCTTTTCTTTCTTTCTTTCTTTCTTTCTTTCTTTCTTTCTTTCTTTCTTGTTTTTCGAGACAGGGTTTCTCTGTGTAGCTCTGGAGCCTATCTTGGCACTTGCTCTGGAGACCAGGCTGGCCTCAAACTCACAGAGATCTGTCTGCCTCTGCCTCCTGAGTGCTGGGATTAAAGGCATGCGCCACCAATACCTGGCTCCTCTCTTCCCTTTCTATACACTTCATTGGTGGGAGAATGTTGCTTTTAGGATGTTTCCTCCCATTTCTTCTTACCTATTCACTGTTTGCAAAAAACCTCTCTTGGGTAGCTTGGAGAGGGGTGGGACCTCTAATTGTCCTAGCCAAGCTGTGGGTTTTTTGGAAGGGGGTCTGTCCTCTAGTTCCTCAGGTACTTGGGGCACTGTTGGAGTTGATGGGGAGACTGGTGTCTCCTCTGTCTTTTGAATGGTTGGTTGGGTGATCTGTGATAAGAACTAGAGAGTGACCCACAATGGGAATAGGACTTGGGACCACCTTAATGAGGAACATGTGGTCTCCTTATCTCCTGGGACACAAGTCATCTCCAGCATTCTAAATATTAGTAAGATTTTAATCAACCATCCCCAGTTCCTGAGAGGGAAACTAAATCTTTGAGATTTCCTCAGTGATAGCTAGAAGTGTCATTATTGTTCATGTTGGAACCTCAGAGCACAGCAGGATTTGTTAAGCTTTGACTCATGATGAAGGCCAGATCCCTAGAAAAGACCAGCTTTATGCTTTGAGGGTTGGGTTGGAATTTTGAAGGGCGATCAGCCTGAGTGCCAGAATGGGACAAGGCTAGACATTGAGTTCAGTCGAGTGGCCCCTGATCTCAACCAGTTATACCTACACAGTGACCCTGACCAGAACTCTGGACACTAATTTCTGCCAAACTTGCTGATTGGTGAACACATATATGTTGGTTTCTTTTTGGGTAGTTGGTGCTGGTTTGTGAACTCATTCATTTATAGTCTCTGTGTCACTTTTGAGTTCTGGGGCTTGAACCCAGGGTTTTGTGGATGTGAAGTGTGCACTGCTCTATCACTGAGCTACATCCCTAGCCCTTGATTTGTACTTGTGAATAAATTGTAATGAATAAATACAGTGTTTTTATTTCCTGAGTTTCGTTTTGCGAATTACTGAAGCTGAAGGGTTTCTGGGAGTGCTTGAGTTTATAGCTAGGTGGGCAGAAACGCAACAGGTATCTGGAGTGACAGCAATGACGTTGGGGAACCTCCCTAAGCTGGGAGTTTGTACAGACTCCAGATCATCCGTCAGAACCACTTCACAGCCTCACATGTTGTGGTCTCCTGGTCTCTCTGCAGCTACTGCTAAGGATGGGTCATTGTGGTAGCATTTTGAAAACTGCAGAGGTGAAGCTGTTTTATGCTTGCATGTTTAGCTGAGGGGGGAGGAGAAGCTTTGGTGGGGGTAGTCTTGAAGATTCGGAGAGTGAGAGCTTCCAAGGGATTAGTGAAGGCTTGGCCATGTTGGAGAAAAAGTGAGAAAACAGAGCCAGCTCATGTAGGGTCTTGAGCACTAGGCTAATCTTTGAGAATTTAGAGTCCAGTGAGGAGAGTTAGATGCATGGGATACATATGCAGAAATACCTAATAGAAGCCCTCAGATGAAGGAACCCCACCAGGCAAACATTATCATAGAGCTACATCCCTAGACTGGAAAAAGTTTATTTGCTCACATTTGTGTATTTCCATCCCACGGACACCTGGCTGTGTTGCTTCTGCCATCAGTTGCAGAGTCTATCAGTGTTAGTTGTGTATGGCAGAAGAATCCTGCTTTCCTCTTGGCGCTGGTAAACCAAGAGGTAGGGGCTGGAGTCCTAGTATCCCTCCAAGGACATACCCAGTGACCTCACTTGCTCCCATAGGCTCTGCCTCTTAAAGCCTCTCTCATCTCCTTGTAGGGCAATAGGCTGGTGGCTGAGTCTAAAAGGCATCGTTTCTGGGGAACATTGAAGACCCAAACTTCAGCAAAGGAACTGAAGGCAAAGTTGCAGTAGGGAGGTGTGGGAAATGAGGGATTAACATGTAGTGAGACTATGCAGGTCTAGGGGAAAGGCTGACCCAGCATGCTTGGCTGGTAGAGACCAGTATGATGCCTCAAAGGCCTTCCGTAGGCAGAGCCACTACGTGATCTCCTGTAGTGAGCTGTCCCCCTCGATTCCTCCAGTGTGACTTGTCAGGGTCAGGGTCCCAAGCCTGCTGGGGTTGCCATAACAAAAACACCACAGTCTGGATGGCTTAAACAATGGAGTTTATTTTCTCAAAATTCTGGTCACTGGAGGTACGTGATGACAGTGTTAGCAGCTCAGGCTCCACTGAGGCCTTTCTTCATTGCAGCAGCTGGGCTCCATCGTGTCCCCCTTCTTTCCTGGAAGGATAGCAATCATCGGATTATTGCTTTACCCTCAGGATTTCATTTAACCTTTCTTTAATGCTTCTTCATTTATTTAAAGGATTTATCTCCAAATATTAGGGCTTTAGCATATGGATTTTGTGGAGCATAATTCAGTTCATAGCAGCAAAGTCATTTTATCTCTCATCAAGGTTAACTTCAAATAAGATAGTGTACTCAGGAGAGCACCTCCCCCACCCCATGATTGGAATCCGGTCCGGGTGCTTATCTAGCTGTCCAGACTTAGTTCCACCGTACTGGCTTTTATCAATTAAATCAGAAGAGCTTTCCTCAGTGCAGATAAGAGTATCCTTAGGGGAAGGAGGCTAATTGCTGTGCCCTTAATCCCAGTGTGGAGACAAGATTGCTGGAGCTTGCTGGTCAGTCTAGCTGGATAACGAACTGTGTTTTCACTGAGAGACACGGTCTCAAAAATAAGGACAGTGATAGAAGTAGACATCTCTGGTCTACACAGGTATGCACACACACATGCACTCACATTATACATTCACATACCCATGGAAACCCAACACCACACATACACACACACACACAGACACACACACTTGCACAGAAGTGGGGAGGGCAGCCTAGGAAGACACCTGATGTGAACCTGTGGCACACACGGGCATATAGGCATATTCATGCACACACATGCACAAACACACATATAAAACCTGTTATCATGAGAAGTGAAGTCTAAAATCAAACTGGGGGTTGTCCAGATGGCTCACTGGGTAAAGGGGCTTGCCACACAAGCCTGGCAATCTGGGTTAGATCCCCAGAACTCATGTAAAAGTGTAAGGAGAGAACCAACTCTGCAATGTTGTCTGCTGATGTACGCACACTCACTCAATATATACACATCCATCACACACATACAATAATAATTTTTTTGAGACTGGGTTTCTCTGTAGCCCTGGCTGTCCTGGAACTCACTCTGTAGACCAGGTTGGCCCTAAACTCAGAGATCCACCTGACTCTCCCTCCTTAGCATGGGGATCAAAAGTGTGTGCCACCGTGCCTGGTCTTAAATTTTTAAAAATAAATAAGATGGAGCTGGGTGGTGGTGGCACATGCCTTTAATCCCAGCACTGTGGGAGGCAGAGGCAGGCAGATCTCTGTGACTTCGAGGGCACCCTGTTCTACAGAGCAGGTTCCAGGACAGCCAGGACTACACACAGAGGAACCCTGTCTCTAAAAATAAAAATAAATAAATAAACGAAATGAAATGGGGGGTGGCTGGAGACATGGCTCAGTGACTAAGAGCATTTGTTCTTGCAGAAGATGTGATTTCAATCCCAGTACCCACAAAGCAGCCCACAACTGCTGTAACTCCAGTTCCAGGAGATTTAAAGCTCTCTTCTGACCCATGGGCAACAGACAGACATACACAAACATCCAAACATCCAAACACATAAACAAATGATTCCATAAAATAAAAATAAAATGTATAGAATTTAGGGTCATCTGGAATTTTGTGGTCTGATACAACAGTCAGTAGCTATATATAGTCTATTTGATTTATTGATAAATAAATCTCATGTGTGGCCCAGGCTTGGCTTGAACTTGCTATGTAGATGAGAGTCTCCCTTTTGAATGCTGGAATAGCAGGCATGCACTTCCACACCTGGTTTTATATAGTGCTGGGAATAGAACCTAGGGTTTGTGTATGCTAGGCAAATGAGCTGCATCCCCGACATTCTGTGTGAAGTCATTAATAAGAATTAAGTAAAATTTCCTTCAATTCACTAGCCATATTTCAGGTGGTCATTCACTCATGGCTGGCAGCGCTAACAGAACAGCACAAATAAAAGAACCCCCATTAATGCAGAAGTCCTCTTGGGCAGCTGGAAGGCAGAGGTCAGTGGCTTGCAACCCTGCTGTGATTCAGGGAAGTTCAGGAAAATTCAAGTCCTGCTTTACTTCAAGAGATTGTGATTTGAGAGATCCGAGGAGCCTCCTGCTGGGGCTTTAACAGAGTCTAGGTCTCTGTGTGCTTCTCTTATGCAATCTAGGTTAATTCTCCAAGGTACTCACAGGGCCCTGAGGGCCAGGAGGTTTTTTGTTTGTTTGTTTGTTTGTTTTTTCCTGAGACAGGGTTTCTCTGTGGCTTTGGAGGCTGTCCTGGAACTAGCTCTTGTAGACCAGGCTGGTCTCAAACTCACAGAGATCCGCCTGCCTCTGCCTCCCAAGTGCTGGGATTAAAGGCGTGCACCACGTCCGCCCTGCAAGAACCTGCCTCTGCCTCCCAAGTGCTGGGATTAAAGGCGTGCACCACCTCTGCCCTGCAAGAAGGGTTCTTATATCTCTTTCCTCCCCATGCCTAGCACAATGTAGGTGCTCACAGGAACATGCTAGTTAAGCATGGACCTGATTTGGGAGGATCCATGTGCCCATGAATTTATTTTTTGCGTGTTTAGGTTCTGATTTGGAGGAATGATGGAGGCTTAGAAGTTTTTACTCTAACACACACACACACACACACACACACACACACACACACACACGAGCAAGGGCACACAACGAACACACACGCCTCAGGCACTCACACATTCACGAACATACTCACTCCCTAGAGACCAAAGCTGTGCTTGGTTGGGGTGGTGATGCTTCTGAGATTGAGGAGTAGGGTAGGTTGGGAAAGAATCCTCTTACCTCCATTCCCTTCCTTCCCAGACAGAGCAGCTTAAAGGGAGACCAGTGTGTGGGCTCTCACATTTTTCTCACCTCAGTAGATAATGGTGCTGTGTCATTGTCCATGCTAGGCACCGCAGGGAGTGACAGAGGGGAATGAGATGATCCTTTATCTTCGCGGTGTTCATGTCCAGTGCTAGGGATACAAGAATACACATTATAGGATAGATCAAGCTGAAAGCATGTTGTGAACAGGTTGTCCACACAGTATTCCAGGCACCCCTAAGATGGATGTGAGTGTGGGTGCTGGTGGAATAGGTCAGGTACTCTCAGCTCCAACTGCCATGGGCTAGGAAACAGGTTGAGGGGAATCAGGCAGGAGTCAAAGGTCAGGCATATCTCTGTGGAAGATGGGAAGTAGAGTTTGCTTTCTATAAGCAGGCCTTGTTCAAACAAACAGCTTCTGGAAAACTGCAGGACGCTGTGTCAGGGATTGTTATGGCACTAGAGCAAAGGTATCAGGAAATGGGCTGGCCTGCAGCTCAGTAGAAGAGAGTGCCCACTCAGAATGTTCGCTCTTCGACCCCCCCCCCCCCCCCCCCCCCCCCCCACCGTGCTTTATAAAAACAAGACTGGAAATGCAGCCTGGCCATGGCTGAGGCCATGAGATACTGGTAGAATTCAAAAAAGGAATAGAGATTAGAGGTTGTGGCCTATCCCAGACCAACTCTCTACTCTTCTAATATTCCTATTTAGGATGTCAGTCTCCCCAACCCCCTGTAGTTCCCCAGAGAAGCAAATAACTTCAACTGGAGCATGAGACATTGAGGGTAGACACATGGATAAACTGTCCAGCTATGGCCATCAGGTGATGCAGAAATAAATTGCTTTGGGGGAAGCTGAATTGCTTTCTTTTCCAGAAACCTCAATGCCAGCCTGGCCTGTGCCTGTGCTTAGCAGTCAAGGTTGAATTATCATGTCTGTGGGGACACTTTCTCCTCTTTGATTGGACCCCCACACTCTCAGACACAATGCAAGCAGGCCAACTGCAATAGGATACATATATTTTGCCCACAGCCAGCTCAAAGGTCCCCAGGCTGATGTCATTCTCTGGGCCCTGCTTGCAGAAGGGATGGCTGAGAGCCCAGAATGGTCCTCTATGGTGGCCTGTGCCAAACCAGGTTGCCATTTCCATTTTCATTAATTGAAGTGGTGTGACCCTGATCATCTAAGGCCAGCAATTTCCTGTTGCTGGTTGGGAGTATGCGGAGGGCATGCTTCTGCAGGACATGCTGTCCTTCTGTCTACCTCGATGGTGCTGACCCCTCATCTAGCTTCCTACTGCACTTGAGATGGGAGACTCCCACCTCATACAAATGCCCAGGCCCTCCTGCTGTGTGTCTACCCTACTTGTGATTTGGACTCCATTTGTTTCTTTGTTTAGTTTAAGGAACTTCCTTACAGATGCAGTTGCCTCCTGAAGCCTCTTGTGCAGTGGTTTGGGAGAAGGACAACATGTCACTGAACAAAAGGTTTAGCTTTCCAACCTTGAAAAGGCAACGGCAAGGTGTGATGGCGGATGTGAGAGGGAACTGCAGGCTTCTCTCCTTACATTGGGGAGGGTCTCTGCCTCACCCTATGAAGTCCCTGCTTTGGCATCTCCTTGTTCCCATGCTTGGCAGTGTCACTTTGTGAGTGTCGTTATTCCGGGACAGGTCAGGTGGTGTGTTGCATTGTTTCATGAGCTTCCAGTGTGTTAACGTGCATTTGTGTACTTCTGTGGTACTGGCAGAGCTTTTTTGTCTGCCATTCTTAATCTTCCAGATGGACACTCATGCAAACGTGTGTAGTCAATTTCTGTTGCTGCTGTGTCTTTGTGTGTCTCTGTGTGTGTGTGTGTGTGTGTGTGTGTGTGTGTGTGTTGTGTGCGCGCGTGTAGCCTCTGAGTTTTCAGTCTTCATAGGCCCATGTCTTTCTGAGTGTCCTCTGGCCGGGAAGAGAAGCGTCGTAGGCG